ATGCTTTTCAGAAAGGCAAGAACTGTGGGTAGAGAGAGAAAAGAACATGAGCTTGCCTCTCATTTGCTAGGTAAGCAGCAACATTGCAATTTTAGAAGAAAATAGCAGTTGCTTTTCTGTGTGACAGACTTGACCTGTAAGTTACATGAAGTCTGAAACTCTGTGCCATAAAGCCGAAATAGCTTTAAGCAATCTGTTTAATTTTATGTGCATCAGTTTCTCTGATTCTAAAATAAATGCAGTGATGCTTGCCATGAAAAGTGGCTATTGATCCAGTTCCTGTGCTTGAAAAAACCGACACAAGTGCAGACTGTCTTGTTTAGTTTGTGCTTTTGCCATTAGTGCCTTAAAACTAGATGTTATATCTTGATTGATTGGGGATATCATTTAACGGTTGAGCATGAAGATGTGCTTCCTGTGTTCAGCTCTCAAAATTATCCTTCTAAGTACTTCTGCTTCTGGAATGCAGTAGAAATATGGGGTGAAGTGAATGAATAGGTTATTAATATTTTAATAGATAGTGCTTTGAAAACAGCATGCTGTAAATACATCATTAGGTGTTTCCCTCAGAGCTCAAATGAATTGAAGGGAAGAAAAATGTGTCCCTTCTGTACCTTTGCTGCTTTTTCTAGATCCTAAAGAGTAGCAGGATGTTGTAGATGTGAAGTTACAGCCGGAAGAAKTTTTCAGTGGGAAAAAAAGRAAGAAAAAATGTCTTTCAGGATACAGTATGATTTATAGAATGAGTTCAGGTCTGCCCACACCATGCTGTGATATGTGGTAAAGAGAGGCCAGAGATGTTGCTCCTTCAAAGGAAGATACACAGTTGTCATGCTGAGCCTGTCAGCRCAGTGCCCTTTGCTTCACCTTTCATTAAGCATTGTAGAGCACAGCTTATGCAATCCAGTTTGGGAATTGTTAAAGTRCATGCCTTGTGTTTCAAGACTTGTATCTTCAGAATTGAGTGAGTTGCATGAAGCTAACTGAATTTTCCATRAAATTACTTGAACGCTGGAGTTCTGTGGTTTTGAATGCTGGAGAATGTGTTGTGTTCAATAAAAGCAAAGATTTACTCAGCATGAGAAARATCTCTCCCTAATTGTCACTACTTGTCATCCTGCAGGCTATTCCACTGTTTTGCAGAGATACCTATAGATAACTTGTGAAGTTCAATGTTGTCATATAATCTGATAGCTGAAATTCACGGAATGTAGACACCTACCTTATTCAGAAATCATYCCATAAATCAGCTTTAAATAGTATTTACTAATCAGGACAGTATTAGCATAAATTTGACTTAATGGRGAAGAATGTATCAGGTGCAAAGTTTTTAACTGGATTGAAACCAGGTGTTAAAATAGCTGCCTTTCTCTAATGCCTCATCTTCAGAGTCCAGAAAGAAACGGGCTTCCAGTTAGACTTATTGAGTTGGGAATTATTGATTCATAAGAAAGGTTGGTGTTCCACATATTTTCATGCTCTCAAGTTATATATATTTATATACATATATATATATATATACACATCTATATGCATACATACATATATAAATACACATGTGTACATGCATGCATATATACATATAACTTCCTGCGAAGTGGACATTTCAGTAATGTTTCTGAAACTTGGCTCTTCTAAGTTGGTCCCCAGGCTGCAAAGTCTGGGCAGCCCATGGTGTCAGATAAASTGGTACCTATGGTCCTTGGCTGTCAGAGAATGGTAGAGCATCAMAAGCTGGCCATAACCACTGTGTTTCAGCAAACACTTCAGATGCAATTTATATCACAAACTTAAGAAAATCTTGAGCTATGAGCCAGTCACCCTGTCCACCCTTGATGGCCAGTGGAGAGAAACAGACATTCCTGAAGGTGGTTTGCCGTGTTCTCAGACAGGTGTCTGACTGGGGTGAGCTGAATTACCATCTGGAAGGGCCAGTGTTAGAAGGAGGGGAATGGCTTTCTTGATTGTTTGTGTCTCCTAATTGAGAATAAAGTGTAGAGAGGGTGGCTGTCTCCTACCCGAGTGGGCAAAACATGGATATTTAAGAAATGGATTCTCAGCATTTTGTAAATTAATGAGAATTTTTCAGCGATGTAGTTTGCGTAGTAAAATTCCTGCTCACCTCTAGATTTCATATTTTCAATCAGAAAAAAAAGAGAGGAAGCCATAGTAACATCACATCACATGAACATCTGTATCAGAGTCTGCTACTATACCAAGGGTTTCCTCATATTATTAYTCTTTTTTTAAAAAGAAAAATACAGCCCTGAAAACAAATTCAGCAGTGTTAAAAWAGTCCCAAAAAAACAAGACATAACAAATCCCAGCCTTTGGAAATCAGAAAGCTTAGTTTTCAAAGACCAATTCTAATTCTGCCTTGAAAAACCGTTTTAATGTTAATATATAAACTATGTATATATTTGAACATAATACATTAATTTATGCTTTACAAATCCTAAGCTATATAGGACAGAATATATTGATGCAATAAAAAAAATCCTTGTACAATGCAAAAGATGTTGGGTATAAGACTTTATAAACTATAGTTGAATATACTGTGTAGGCAGGAGTAAGAAGATCATATCTCATCATCCCCAAAATGGGTATTATGTGTTTGACAGCCTTGTAGGGTCACTGCAATGGGAACTTTTGTTGATAAGCATTGTGGGCTTGCCCCAGGAGTGRTATGAGTCATGTCTTCATACAGTTTGAGACCTTACTGCCTGGCCAATGAACCAAACAGTGATAGTGTCACTCCCAAGATGGTTAAAAAGTATTAAAGGACTAAGATTTATAGGTGAGGCTGCATTTACAATGAATTCTAGTTTCTGTACAACACCTTGACTGAAGARATRAGATATTAGAGGCAGTAAATTTTTCTTCCAGTTTCTTGGTTCTTCCTTTACTTCTATTCAGAGACCAAGCATCAGGTATTAGATGAATTATTGACATTATAACATCCCAGATAAGGCAGTCTAATTTCTATAGCTGCTGAACATTTGAAATACACTGAAATAGAAAGATTGTGATGTGACTGCAATTCTGAAAATTGAGACGGAAATTCTGTTGCTTCACCAACAGGCTTGTTTTCTTGAGAGTTATTAGTAAATCTGCATTTTAATTGTAAATAMAAATTAATACCTGAGGGGGAAACTGCAAATTAAATACAAGGATGACTAAATACATTTCAATGACCTTTGCTGTCAGTCATAGTTGTGTAAGCTCAGAAAAAAAATACCATACTGTAGAGATAATATGCTGTATTATGTTTTGGACTAGTGTGTCCATTAGGCCACTATATTCTCATGTGAGTTATAATATAGGATAATGTAGATGTAGAATATAAGGAAATGTAAGCTCCATATGGTTCCAGTGGAAGCCGRGAAGAGATCTTAAAAATTAAATGCTTTGCACTTTCCAAGCTCGTGGTGTATTTTCTGTCATTTAAGACTGTGYGTATGTTTCAGTCTGAGTTTTTTCATTTCAATTCATCTCATTTTAAGACTGGGTTTTCTGAACAAAGGGACTGTTAGATGGAACTTTGTGAGTCACACATTTGGCTCTGTTGGGCTTTGAGGATAAGAATACCAGCCTTAGGTATCAGCAGTTGTTGATATCTAGCCAAGAAGAAGAGCAATAATCAGATGTGAAATCAGTTGCAAAATCATAAATTTGTAATAGGGAAAAATATGAAAAGAAAATATAAAGAGGGGAGCTGAGCTCCATTGTTTCTACTGTTTCTTGTCCTACGGTGCAAAAGTCTTTGAGGCTTAAAAATGTTTTGTTGATGGGTAAATGACTAGATAGACACTAAAGCTAGGASAGTTTTTGATCTTCACAAATCTTAATTTTAGCTCTTCAACAATAGGAACTGTGATTCATGTAGCCCATTTTTTCCCTCCAATGAAGTCATGAACTTGCATGGAGTATGGGTTARGGACTAGTTGATGAATTGCAAGCTTCACTGTTGCAGACAAAACAGAAKATAAATATACATAGCATTTGAGAGTTCTTTTCCTCTGTAGCATTATGCTTTTCCTTCTCTTTTCTGCAGTACTCTTTAAATATTAGTGTGAATAAATCAGTGTTTATCTTGTCAATGCCCTTTATRATAAGAAGTGATTCATAATTGTGTGCAATATCTTACTTGTTTGGAAGTTTGCAGTGGTCCTGYAAATTCTACCTACTTTTGTCTTAGAATCATCCTCAGAAAAGTGGAAAAGTTGAGGACAAATGTTTTAAATATTTCTGTTTTACTTTTTCTCCTTTGAGATAATTTCACACTGGGGGAGACTGAGGGGGTAGGGTTATAGCAAATCATAATGGCTTCTGAGTGTCTGTGAAGTCCAGAGATGCTGAAGGAGAATMATTTCTACTTCAAAAGCTGGATATTTTTGGTGAACAGTCTTTTATCAAGAAAAGAACGTCCATAGCACTCACAAGCTGATATATATCTGCAGGAAAATGTTTTTCCTCAGCTACTGGATACTCAAGAAATGAGAAAAGCGATTTGCTGTACAAAAGAAAAAAAAAAATAAGCTCTTCCTTCAGTCCCTCTGTGATCTATCACTTGAGGAGAAACATATTTGGATGTCTTCCCAGSGCAGTGGCTACATCTGGCATATAAAAAAAAATCTCCTCTGTCTCTCGAAGCATGAAGCCAGTGATGGCTGATGTGATGTTTTCTTTGGTTTGCATACAAAACTTGCAATTATACTGCACAGGAAGTGTGATGTCAGGCGAATATGAGCTCTGCCTCTAGGAATTTGCAGCTCTCAAAGAGCTGCATGGTCCTGCAGTGGTGTGTAGGGGAACAGGAAATCTCTGGACAGGCATCTGACTGGGACTTCCCCCAGCTGACCAGTTTCCTTCAACTTTTTACTTCTGGCTTTAGATTTACTCTGGAATCTCTCCAGATCAGATCATGTTTACAAAGAATAGGAAATATTTGGTGGAAAGCCCCTCATAACTGCATAACTGCATTGCTTTTCAACAGGAGTTTTTCTCTCTGTACAGAATCTATGTTGGCCCTTTGCCCCCAAGCTCTTCCCTTTCCTCGTTGTGCTGCRTGGCACTGGTTACTTCTTACCTGCCCGTTTGTCTTTACTGACACAGGCCCACATACAGACACRTCATGTAAAAAAGAAAAATTACCATTGCAATGTATGTGCTTTTATTACTACAGCATCTTCGATATCAGAGTGCTACTCAAAATACTTGTACAGAAAAGCAACAGGGATTTTCTAAATGTAGTATTATTTTGATAGTTTCAAAATAGACTTCTATCTTTAGACAGAATATTGAATTTTGTCTTTTATGGATTCATGATTCATTGTTATGACAGACTTAATCAATCTGATGAGTCCATGTTCAATGTTCTGGCAAATATAATCAGCCCTGGAGTGTTTTCTTACTCCCCAAAGGCACATTGTTTCTGTATTTATTTCATTCTKATATTTTATYTGGAAAACATATTTCTTTTTCTTGAAGTGTCTGTTCTAAGACATACATTGAAAGCCATGTGTTTAATTTACTGAATATGAAATGATCTTTTTATTTAGGAAGTCAAAGGAGAAGGTTATTGAACAAAAAGTCTAGCAAGATAATGGGCACAGAAGTCACAGAGAGAAAAGGGAAAAGATTAATCTTATAAGAATCAAAGGGCAGATTTAAAGACAGTTTGCAGTAATAAAAAAAAAACTGTTAGACTCTAATACAAGTCCTATGCCTCTTTCTAAAAATTATCTACACAATGTACACTTGTTTTAATGCAAGATCAAGAGCTACTTTCCACAACTCATTTCTTTCTTCTGAATCTTCATTTTTCGTTCTTTAATGTCACTTGTCTGCCAGATTATTCTAGGGCCTTTGAAGTACAGAAAGATGGTCTATTTTCAGGTTTTACTCCCATGCATAGTTCCAGCATGCAGTGCAAGTCTTTGGGGGTGGGATTTGTCTCCTAAAAATGTGGAAATTGTAAGTGAGTACTACAAAATAATGAATAAAATAGAAAGCAGAGATATTCAAGACTAAAAAAAAATACTGTAAGTGTGTCTTATATGTGATGTTGAGTCTACTAAAGAGGACCATTTAAGAAGCATTGCTGCTTTTTTTTATTTTGAATTTCAGTACCTGATTCTGTGAAGGCAGGTGTATGTGCATGGAGCAGCAGAGCTGACCAATTCTTTTCCTCAGCAAGTGCAGGACAGAGCCTCTGGTCCAGAGTGGGATGTACCTTTCCTACTGCAGGAAGAGCAAGAAAGCTTGAAACGCCATTCTATAGCAACTGCTGCTTCATACCAATAGCTTTAGTACCTTGCTACACCCAGCTCATTCCTTGTTGTGTATAAGGGGTCTCAATTAATCAGATCAGTTGCAGGAATGACTTGGAACATGCAGAGTATTGAAATAAGGTATCATACATAGCACATGAATACTTTGTGTGTCAGGGTAATTTTGACTCAGAGCTCTGTTTAAATGTTGCTGTAACACTGCACATTTAATAATAGCCTAGTGCTAGGCAAAACATAATTACTTACTCTCTAATAATAAGCAATGTTTTCCTTACAGCTCTGATAACTGAGATCATCTCTGAATCTTCAGTTCATATGCCACACCCAAGGTCAGCCATTATCTCTATGTATTCTTACTATCATAGTCTGACAGGAAATATCTTTAATATCCATGCATATAGCATTCATGTCCATGACAGCTCTTTAAAGCCAGATAAGAYTTTTGGTATTCTTTTTACTAGGAAGTAAGAGTGGTTAGCCTTAGCAGGAGGCTCTTAATATGAATTAACAATAGTTAAGCTTAAAATAATATTATTTTAAGTGATGTCAATTAATTTAAATTTATAGTTCTAACAAACCTTAGATCCTTYCAAACTACAAAAGTTCTTAAATTCTGGTAATCATGCGGCTATGTAAAATGTCATCTTTTTGRCACATTATTCAATAGAATTCTTAATCAGAATGCTCAAATAGACGGCTGAACCCCTTCAACTCACTGAGGGGAGACGTGTGATGATATAGTACAGCTTTTAACCTATGGAAAAATGTAAACCAAATATTTGTTTACATTAGATCTGATGGAAAGGTATTGTTGGACAGGTGTATTCCTCTGCTATTTCCATGGGAGGTGGTTTTTAGTTTGATTAACTTGGATGTTAACAAACATTTAATTTCATTTCTAGTTTGGGGCTGTTTTCTATAAAATCTCTCAACATCGGCGGTATGTTTTTTTCTGTGTCCCTGATGATTCTGAAGTCCTGACAGGCAAAACACTGCAAGCAATTCACAGYTTCCTCTGGTTTTAGCTGAATTCCACTGCCTGAGCCTCAGATAATCAAGCAGCAAATTTTCCTGGGTGTCACTCCAGTACTGAAATTTATCCACATCAGTATTATACAAGTTGCTTATATTCTTGGTGATTTTCTCACTTTGCATTTCAATAGTTAAAGACAAGACTTCATGTCCTTTGGAGACATGACAGATTAAGCTCTTTAGGTGGCTCTCTAAGTTCAGGGTGAGTTGCWTAACATTGACAGGATAATTTAAAACTACAATTCTGAAATTTTTCATCTCTTTTTTTTTCCTAGCATACATTTCCATAAGCTACTTGTATCATATGAAAGAAAAAAAAAAAATCCTATGGCTTTTTTTTTTAACTGAAGATTTAACTCACCAATTGCATCATCCTCCCTTCTGCACCTCACAATCATGTAACCAGGCAGATTTGTCAACACATGTAATGTGGGTTTTCTTGTACTTTCCTGTAATGTCTGGTGGCTGTAGTCAGAGATAGCATATTTGTCTGGGTGAAATGRGTCTAATCCAGTACAAGTAGACCTGGATCTGGTTTTGACCAAGTCATTCCGCCTCCAAGGGCTTAGTTGAATACGAAGAACATAATGTACCAGTTTCGTTTTAATGTGATACCAGATTTATAGAGGTGAAGTGCTGCTGTATAACATTTTATCATCAAGTCCTGTATCCCTGGAGCTTGGATTAAGGTAAAGGCATTTACCTGGTGTTCATTTGTTTTTTCTGAAATTATCTACCTGCTTTGCATTTATTGATAGAAGATGGCATGGATTTTGAGGTTCAAGGAAATGCTTCCTGCATTTGAGAGCATCTGKCTCACTTGGTTGACCCTTTACAGCCTTAAGATATCTTAGATACAGGAGAGCTTCTGGCATGACTCATCCTGGRATCGAAGCTCCCAAGAATATACATCGGGAACAGAATTGGAAAGTAAGCAGGTTTTCCCCACTTCTGACTGCATTTCTGGCTGAGGTTGAATACCCCATGTGTCTTAGATTCCATATCTCTTAAGCTGAAGACTCTTAGAAGTTCCTGCCTCTGAGAAAACCAGGGTGAAGACTGAAGAGCCTGTGGAGCTGTCTCCAGCCAAGAGGTKCCCAGTGGGTGGGTACCAGTTGGGCTTGAGAATGCCTGCACTGGGTGCTCTACATGCTTTGCTTTAGTTGTGGGGCTTATACAGGTGGAGATACAGCCTTCTGTTTTCATCCCATTTTTCATTTGTGGTCAAAATGAAAGAGTTGTATTTTCAGCTATGGAAAAGCTCATTTTTAGTAAACTAGAGAGTAAATATTTTTAAATTATTTTCACTTTTGTTAATACAAATTTGGTTGAGGGAAAACATTGAAAAATATATCAGATTAAATCTACTTGTTTGGCAAAATTTGAAGCTTTGCTATAAGTGAATGATTGCTGTGAGGAATCTTACTCCTTTCCTYTGATTTTTCAAAGATAAACAACATCCACAGATGAAATTTGTTTAAATTGTAGCATAGACACTATTAAAAAAATGTTATTACAAAAGCAAATAATTTGATAGTAAATTGAAATGAAGAAAAAATGGGATTTCTCCTCCTTCAAATAACCTGATTTTAATGTTAATGAAACCTTAATCAAAGAAAAGTCTCCTGGAAGGGTAAAAACTGAAAAAAAAAACTATTGAGTATTACAAAAAAGAACCACTTTAAAGTGACTAAAAGAGCCTAAGGTGATGCATAAGCACTGATCACATTGCTCCTTCTGTGTTTTATTCTAGTCACACAGAGATGTACTTGCTCTGAGCAAGGTGTGTAAGAATTGACGTAAGTSTGCAGATGCTGTAGGCAGTCTGACTGTAACACACATTGTTTAGTGTGTTAAAATCTGGGGGTCAGCTGATGTTTTCAAGAGGTCACTTGCCCAAGGACAGCATGTGTTTGTTTTCTCCTCAGTCTAACCAAGAGATACAGCTTATTGGTCTCCTCCCATGCTCCTCTCATCCTCTGTGGTCTTTAGGGGAGCCCCATTATGTAGCTTTTTCTGACATGTGCCACTGTACTGTATGAAATAGCCTGCAGATTCTGACTGGTAAGGAGTCTGAGAAGCAGATTTGTTTCACAAACAGACTGACCTCTACCTGGCTGAACAATGTTACCTCAAATTTTGTTTAGATGTCTCTAGTTGTGCAAATTTTTGTTGATGTTATGTGTGCGGGGATGTTTGTATTGACCATTGATTCTCTTCAGATATTTCAGCTTGCATTGTCTTGTATGTGAAATGAAAATAATCCTTTTTTCTCACTGCAAGGATTTAGGTAAATAATTTCCCCAAAATTGTCCTGATGCCTATTATATCTTTGAAGAAGAGGACAGACACATTGRTGTAACAAAGAATACACACAAAGACTATGAGCAGCCTGGACAGCAGAATGGGACTTCAACTCTTYGCTCTGGTGCTTTCTCAGGCTACATACAGTGTCCACATTTCTCTGCCTTTAAAAACATGTCAGATTAGCACCAAGAATATTAATACCTGTACACTTTGGAGAGGTAACGTGTGGATATATCATATTTGATCAGAYTCTTACTCAAGAAGTAAGTAAGGGGTGGGTGCACAAGATTTGTCCAAATAATTTTTAAATTACTATTGTCCTCTGCAGACCCTAATTCCTTACTCCATKCAGTAGCTGGCATTCCTCACCATCAGCTAGCTACGGTAAATTCATTCACATACGCAAACTTCATTGAAGTTTTGTTTTTCTAAGTTCTTAAAGACACTTCAGCCATGTCTGATGTGGTTTAGTTCATATGACACAGCCCCTGAGCAATGTTGACCACAAACTGCAAGAGCGCTGATTACCGATTGTTAGGTTCCATGTATTTTCCAAATTCTTCCCATTGTTAACTGATGACGCAGAGGAAGCATTCTGTGCCAGTTCTGTGACCATTACAGAACAGCAGTACAGACTACAAGTAGAAGAGCAACGCTGTGAGGTACAGAACCTGCACAAACCTCAATTAAATGAGAAATGTAAGAAGTATGGGCTATAGTTGGCCAGGAATTGGTTTTTAATGCCAGGGATGCAGCAAATTGTGCATATCTAACGAGAAACCAAGAAGGAGACAGTCCACCATCTTCCTGTTTTGGCACATGCAATTAAAAGACACGATACAGATCACAGAAATTAGATATTGTTCACATTAGAATTTCAAGTGAAAATAAAAGTCATAAAATTGAATAGGCAATAGGAGTGTAAATTTTGAAAACAGAACTAAGCAAAAGACTGATCTACTCAGAGAGATTTTTCCACTGAGAAATATAACTGCAYCTGGCAGTATTTCAAATTTTCTTCTCCCACTACTCTAAGAGCATAATGATGTTGTTATTACAAATAAGAAATACCCAACATGCCTTCTTGTGGCTTCAGTGGAATATTTGCAATGAAGAAAAAATATATCTTTATTCACACTGGATTCAGTCTCACATACATTAAAGTCACTAAAAATGTACAGGTGTTCAGGTCTCTCTTAAACTTACCCTCTAAATTACTTTCTTTAATGATGTTTATCTTTTTATTGACTATTTTTTTAGGAAAGACCACAGGTCCTCTTCACTAATTACAGCATTAAAACAACCAACTGTTCAAAAGAGTTTCAAAGGAGCAGCTGATCAAATGGTCCTTAAATGATTTCCAGAGTTTATACCTTTTGTCTGATTCTATCGCTAGACAATTTATTTTGTGTACAAGATGTAAAACTGCTTGAGAACACAGAGTCTGAAAGAGAATTGTATTGACAAACTACATAGTCTAAAAGCTAAACTATCAGACAACGGTAATACGTAACAGTTGATGGAAACAAAAAATTGTCCCACTGATGTTCCACATTGTCTTCTATGAGAGGATTCCTACCAAAGTACTTGGTGATGCCTTTGACAGATAAAGGATGATAGCCTAGCTGGATTTTGTGCATTGTTCTAGGAGACACTATCAGTTCTTCTACAGTTTGGTGTATTCCACCGGAATTCCTCTATAGCTACAAAAATAGGCATTTGCTAAACAATTTCTTAGAAGTGGAGAAGAGACATTAGTATTTGCCTTTTAAACCAGTCTTGATCTGCTTATAACTTTTTCAGTTTTCAAAATTCAGTAATGTATTTATAAACTCCAGAAGAAACTTTCACTATGTACTTTTACTACATAGAATATTTTATTATAATTGTTATCTATGAAGTTTTGATGCATTGTGAAATGGTTTCATAAAGTGCTAACCTCCCACACAGGGACGAAACCTGCAATTGATTCTGTATTCGGGGGTTGTGTGTACATATATATATGTGAATAAGGATATGCAAATGTATGTAGATATTCATGTTCTAGAAACAGTTACAATTTTCATTTTCAGCTCTGCGTGGGAGGCAGTTTCCTTCCGTGGAAAGGAACAACACACATCTATTGACTAGAGAGGAGAACCACATGACTGGTACTCAGCAGGAAATGTCTGGAGCCCAGACTGCTGCTTGTGCGGGGTCTGAGAGGACAGCAGGGCTTTAGCAGCCTGCAGAGCCCATCTGCCCTGAGAGGACAAAGCTGGGATGCTGTTCAGCAGCCCGTGGGTTATCCTGCATCTGCTTGGGGCAGCAGGAAAGCAGGGTGACCCACACACTCTGCAGMTGCTTCAGTTGGCAGAAGGAAATAAGGGAAGCCAAGGAAATAAGGGAAAAGAGCTGAAAATACTGGGAGTAAGGCAGTGAAAAAGGATGATATATTTGGGACTGGATGTAGCATAGAGGGCATGTGAGAGGGGTCTGTGACAGCTACATGCTGGGTCACACTGTCTGTTCCTTACTGTCCACAGGAAACTCAGCTGACTGCCTTCCCACAGGAGTTGCTCTTGCTGTGTGCCACCAGGGGAGCACTGCAGGGTCCTCTACTGCTCACGGACTAAGGAAAAAGCCCTACATGCTAATCAGTGTCAACAAATTACCAACGCATCGGTAGTCAGGCTCCAACACACTGAACCCTTCCCAGAATCGACAGTAAATCCAGGTCCTTGAGTTTAGAAAAGCAGCATATTCATGCTAAAACTGCTTCTTGTAAGACTAACTTCCTTGGAGACAGCCTAACTTTTAAATAATAAAACTAAAAATGGGCAATACACAGGCTGAAGGAAATGTTTGTTGTGTCCAGAGCAGTACGGCATGCAGACCACTTCTGAAGTTCTATAAATAGTGTCTGGCTGTTGAAATACAGTAGATAGAAATTGTTCTGTGGACTACAAAGTGGAATTTGGGCTGCTATTCCCAAATTAGGTTGCATGAGAATTTCCTACAGATGAGTCAGCTCAAAATGTTAGAGGGATTTCTTGCCAAATTCCTGTATCTCCACTCATCATCTATTCCATACCTTACCATTTCTGTCCCAGCAATCAGGATATGATAAAGCAAGCACCATTATACATTAGTTTTCCCCCAAAGGCCAGAAGGAATTGTTCTTTCCTCTGCTCAGAGATAACAATCCAACACCACAATTTCCAGTGCCACTGTGGTCTAGACTAATTCCAGCACCATCATTAATGCTGCCCTGTCATCAGTCCTGTTTCCACACAATCTGAAAGGACATCACTATTTTTTTGTCACCATAAACTGAAAGAAAAAAACACATGCACTTCTGTGACAGGAAAAAATCTTGGAGTTGTGACAAAGCAGAGATGGAAGAACATAAAAAAGAGCTAAGAACTGAAACTTCTGTTGTGGTGTAAAATAAATGGGTATGTTTTCCATTTTCTGCTGATGACYAGCCATGAAAGGTATGCAGCAGCACTGCAGGTCAGGGCCATTTTTCTTAGTGAGGGACAAGTGATCACCTACCTCCACAAGCTGCCAATTCAAGGGTTCAAAACGTTTTGGGCTAAAGGAGGTGCTTGAGGAGGGACCTGCTGATGGACATGCTGAGCAGCCTCCTTGATGAGCTGGGGTTTTCTGAAATGAAGGAATCACGGCCAGGCCAGCACTGCAGGACTTACTGCAACAAGGAAGAGGAAAAGCCTTTAATARAAGATCAGTTAGATGTCATGGTGACCTTGATGTACAGGAGCAGAAGACTCCAGAAACAGGGACCTGTTTCCTGGGGCTCAGGGTCCAGGTTAAGTGCAARCCTGGTGCAGTTCATGTGGAGAAGCCTATTCCTGCTTCCCCTCCCCTCCATAACACAGCACACTACKGGTCACCTCATTCTCCAGCCACTCTTAATTTAATAATATGACAAAATTTAAATATTCTTACCTTGCTTTGCTGTRCTGTTTTGCTTTCTGGCTTCCTTCGAAGCACAAATCCCGCGCTGAGCATTCTGTGCTTTCCCCCTCCCACAGGGTTTGTGGAGTCCAGCAGGCTTCTGTGATACACCCAGGATTATCCACAATTCTCTACAAATGGTTTTCTAGGAAGGACCATCTGGTGGTCCAATGACCAAATGTGCATTTGCTGCCTTCTGCACCTGTTCAGTGCCATTCACCCTCTCCCTGACAGGCGCTCTCCCATCAGAGGTCTTCCCGAGTGAGGGGACAAAGGGATGCAGCACATCTCCCAAAACAGCAGCTGGTATAGACACCTTTTGGATATTTCTGTTCTTAAGGAGGAATAAATCCCATCTTATCTTCAAAGTGGAGATGACAAGAGGACCAGAAGGCAACCACCTGGCTCTCTGAGCCCTTTCACTCAAATCTCTCTGCYATTTCAGAGATGGTTTTGATGCCCACAGCTAATCACAGGTGAGCCCACAATATACCTACCAGTCAGATATGTACTACTTTAGCGTGGGATTTCTCTATGCAAGCTAAGACATCAAACATTAAAAGCTTGTCCAGTTATCTTTCTTGACTGTCAATAAGATATTCACATACAGAAAAAGATCAATATTATCAAAATTTTTCCTTCGAAGAAAGGAAGCAGAGGGAGAAACACCTGAAATTAGTGATTAATTTCATTAAGTGCCCTGTTACTACTACAGACAAACTAAGGGTACCACCTATCAAGAAAACACATCAATGATGGCAAAAGGTAAACATAAAATTGAATAACACACAATTTAATAATAGAAGACCTGCAGTTGTCATTATCAGGCCAAAAAAAATTACATCATCAAAAGCAGGGAAAATGAAACAATATGCCTGCCAGACAAAACGGCTATTTGGCATTATACTGCAGTCCTGTCTCAAAAAAAAACATCTGGGGAAAAAAAATCTTTCTAAAGATCACACATACATACTGTAGAATTTATAAATGAAAGCCCTGGGGTAAAAATAAGCTGAAAGCAGGATATTCCCCGAGCTAAGCAACACTTGCTTCTCTGTCTTCTTAGAAATGTTGAAATTTTCCCCAGCTTTCAAATGGTAACTGGAAACACACCATGCTTTGTTCTTTAACCTCTCACGAGGAAGTCACACAGACTGAAGGTTTGCTGAGCAAATATACGATTTTTTTCTTAATCTGCCAGTTTTATTTTGATATTGGCTCCTTCTCAGCAGCACATCAGATAAGACTGCTTAGTTCTTAGTTTGATGCACTTCACCCCTATTAGGGAAAAAATCCCAACTCATTTGTAAGTTTGAGATATTTCTTGTCACCCATGTATAAGTATATTAAGAGTTAGTTACCTTCAAAATGCTGTAGGCATTTGCTTGGGAGTTGGATAGGCAAAGGAAATTTAAGTCCTTACTTCAGCCTTTTTCATCTCATTTTAAGGCAAGGTAACTCCCTTTTACAAGGTGCCTAAGAGCTGGCCCTGGACACCCACTTCCCTGCCAGCAGTGTTTAGGAAGGGCGCAGGCAGCAAATGYGCTGCAGGTCCTGTTGCCTCACTGCAACCCTCCCCCCTCTGAGGAAGTGAGCAGTCCACACCTCATGTTCAAGACACCCTGGCTTCCCTTGTCACCACTACGGAGCAGACACCTAATGCATCTTGCTTAGGACAGCTATCTAAGCAGCCTCTAAAGTCAATGGGGAGGATGCCCTTAAAACACCCCCATTCACCATCTGTAATGACAAACCCATCTCTCCATACTAAGATTGACTACCTTGCAGAGGCATCTCCCTGCATTAGAACTAGGAAGGAAGCACAGATGGCTAGGTAAGTTGCTTAAGTTTAAAAGAGTTGATTAGGAGAGAGTTCCAGTGTAAGCTATAGCTCAATATCTGGCTTCTAGAAATAACCTGATCACCACTGCATAGTTCACCTGACTTTGTCAGAGGCTTGAGAATTACAGCTGTCTTTTGATGGGCCATCTGTGTCAGTTTTAATAAAAATAAATGTGTTAAGTAAGGACCTTAAAGAGCTTCTTTGAACACTCTCACCCTAAAAATGGCAACATTAAAATAATTTTTTTACAGGCACAAGATTGACTGGRAGATTTAATACCTGAAGAATGCACGTCAAAGACTTTGCTGCTGTAAGCTTTAATTGGCACTTCTGATGTTATTTGAGGGGGCAAAAAAATTCATTCTCACAGCAAAAAAGTGCACAGAGATGCTGAATATTTCTGAAGAAAACACATATGGTCAAAGTCATTCAGCAGCTTGGTTTCCAAAGCATGGGAGGCCAAATCTGTGCTGCCCCCACACTTCAAGAGTCAGTGAGTAACTCCAGCCTGTCTTGAAAAGGTGTCAAGGAGAGACATTAAGAGAATTAAGCTCTTAAAAGCTCTGTGGAAATCAGTGGCTGGGAAAGAGGTCCAAGTAATTCCTCTCTGGAGGAATTCCATCTCAGGGGGAAAATATGGGCAGAAAGATGCCCTGTCTGTGGACTGGTGGGGAGGATGTCAATCAGCAGGGGAACGTGGAGAAAGACGCTCGATCCACAGGASCTGCAAGCCATTAGTAGGAATCACAACTTCATTAGTTCCACCCCTCACAGTGCTCATTTTAAATAGAACTCTTTTCTCAGATTCCCCATTTTGTAACTAAGATTCCATTTCTACTGGGACACCCTTTCTGCAACAAAAGTATTGGGGAATATTACACCCGACTACCCCCAAAAAATCAGCAGTTACTGAGTTGGAAGAGAGAGCACGGCCATGCCCACATTAGAGTGTCGCCTGCACGTCTCAGCTGGTMTGACATGAAACACCAACCACCAGCTAAGCAGAAGTATTTTATACTGCATTTTACAAAAGCAAGAACGTGAACACAAATGTGCATGGTTTTGATCTCCATCAGCATATGGAAACACATTTCAAATAATTTCCTTATGCTCTGATATGCTTGATGCTATGTTATTAACTCATGAACAATTACAAAAAATACAGACTACTCAATCTGCTTCTCTTATAAATGAAGGCAGTTTTCCTCCTTTTCCAGACATTTTGGAACAAGATGATTTGGTGYTTTTTCAATAAGAATACAAAAATAAGGGTCATAAAAAGCTATGGAATGTATCTGTCACTACAGACCACTGGAATTTGTCATTATTTATTGCAGTCAACTAATAAAGTAGTAAAGATTTATAACAACATTCTACAGTCCTTTACAAACATATGCTACCATCACAGGTAATTTTACAGTGATTCAATTATGCATCTTGTGCTTTAACTTCATAAAATCAACACTGAAATACATACTTTCCAAACAAGGCAATATATAGCAAATATTTTCAACTGTAAATTGGAACTTCATGTATTTAGTAGTAATGTAATTAYGGTGTAATTCCTTCAAACAATAAAGGTTTCATAATTTTAATAATGTACCAAATGTATCTACGCCAAGTAGCAGAAACACAAGAAGATAAAACCGACATCAAAAACACAGCATACAGATTTTTAGTAAAGAAAACAAAACAGAGCAGCAAGCATCCTGCAGTACTGCAAGAATTCGCTTACACACATAGAAAAACTTTCCTTTGTCTCCCAGAAAGTTAACAAACCCTGCTGCTTTTCAGTTTATACTAACAAAAAGAGCTAAAAAAAGATTCAATCACTATTTATAATAAAAATATATATATGGCTAATCTAATAGCTAATGCCCCCAGCCATTTTCTACCCTAATGCTAACTTCCAGTGAATTGCTAATAGTAATTATTTGGGAAGAACAGAAAGGCAGTTCCAAAAAAGTGCTCAAGTGCTGCTTTTCTAACTGCAGGCACTGCAAGAAAACAAAGAAATGACCATTTATACCCTACAGTATTATTGYATAATTTGTTACATTCCAACTATGATTGCTTTTGACAGGTACCACAAGGGACTTTGCAGCACCATAGGATTTTGTGCTYAATTATTACTGGAGCCCAAGGCTCCGTTTTTGGTAAATGCCAGATTGCCAGACGATGTAAGAGGACCCCTTGGTGTTCACTCTCTGACTCTTATATATCATTTAGCCCAAATGTTCAGTTTCCTATGTTTTATTGATACATTCCATAAGCATGCTCAGCAAATACTTGGTTGTTACTGGCATCAGCCTGGGAGGTGGTAAAAAAGGCCTGACGTTGCTCAAGACTGAAGTGGTATCCTCTATTTCCCATGCACCAATTCCTTGTCAGCTATTTATAACAGCCTTTTTATTTTAGGAAAAATTTCTTCAACTAAAGGGCTGTCAAGCTTAAAACAGGCTGCCCGGAGTTGAGTCACCATCCCTGGAGGTATTTGGAAGATGTGTAGAAGTGGCACTCAGGAACATGAGTTAGTGGTTGACTTGGCAGTGCTGGGTTAATAGCTGAACCTGATCTTAGAGGTTTATTTCAACCTAAATTATTTTGTAATTCTGTTTTTTTGAAGGAAAGCAAAGTCCCTCCCTTTATTAGATACTGTCCTATTGGAACAGATGATTGTGCTCTCAGACTTATCTTCCAAATCCAGGTATTTCATGGATACTGGCATGGAGTGCCTAGGACCTGCTTGAGCTCCTGCCTGCCTGTGGCTCTGACAGCAGCAGTCATCACCAGCCCAAAAGAAGACAAGCAGGAGCCTGGACAGCACTCAGGTCAGCCCTTAATCACAAAGCTGAGTGAGACTGAATATAACCAAATGAAATGTAAGGAAAATGATGGGAATGTGAGACCAGGTCCTTGTATGCTAAATCAAAACAGCATAATCCTGCATCCAGGGAGGAGTGCAGCTGCAGTTAGTGCTGAAGAAAGCAATTAGATTTGAAAATCAGGAATGCCAAGAAGTGGAACTAGGTAAAACATTTCATGGAGTATGTGCTGGAAGGGCAAAACCTGGTACGAGAAGATAATGAAGCCATGCAACAATGCATGCAGAACATTTAGAATAAAAAAATAACTGCAGTATTTTATTGCCTCTTCTCAAATAAAGATGTTAAGCCTATTAATAATGATGCAAAAAAAGYGAAAGTTTCCAATTAAAGTTTCCACTTCCCATTTGAAAAGGTGGTGTATTGTGTGAGGAAGTATTTTCCAATCCATCAGCAATTGAAAAGGCAAAACATTACTAGAAATAACTATTTTAACAAATAGCATGTATTAAAGATAGCTGACCCAGCTTATCTTTAGGTAACTGAAAATGTCAATAGATTTTGGGAAGATCTGTCACAGTACAGAAGGGAAACTAGAATGAGTTAAATAGAAACCAGTTTTCCAATATCCAAACCATGCTGCAGAATTTGAAGGTTCAAAATACAATTACCACTAGCTAACACCTTTTATGATAAACGGGTTTTCGTTAATCTCATTTTGCTTGTCAGTGAGGTATTTGGTTGATAAACCTATAACTGAACAGGTTAAGTATTTTTGTAGGGAATCAGACAGTGAGACAAACATCCAAACTCACAACTAGAACAAGACTATATCCGTAACACAGACACTGGATACACAAACTGTCAGATTTCAACAAGGAGCTCCCCCACTGTCCGCCAGTCAAGGAGTTTTAGGGAGGCTGCACAGATTTGTGGCAGGACCAACAAACTTCAATGCTCTAGTTAAACCATGCAAATGCAAAGCTGGGCAAAACCCACACAGAGCCAGAGTAACGCAAAACCCACACCATTTGCTGATTCTGTGACTAGAGAAGATACATTTATTCAGGCTATCAAAAAGAACTTGCACAGAAATAGAGCACATGTTCACACATTTCAATAATGACAACTTACTCTCATTAGTAAAGTAMCCACACAAGTGGCAGATTTGCACTCTACTACTACTCCAAATCTTATGGCTAGGAAAATTCTTGATTGAAGAAATTAGCTCAGTCTGACTGCAAATTATTTAGTTTGATGCCATATAACTTAGTTTTAAGATCTGCCATTTTGTATCATCTAATAAAATTTTTCCCCATTGATCATAAGGTTTCATAAAGTAATGCTGTATTTTTCCCAAGCAGCATTTAGCCCATGTGCAAAAGAACACCTCCATTCACAAAAGAAAATGCAAATAGCATGAAGAAGACAGGTGATAAAGAACAGTGTAGCATTGCAAATAGAGCACCTCTACACTACTCACAATCAAGAGCTGACCCTCTCCAAATTAAGCTTCCATTTCCACTGTGCTATTTACAGTCCTCAATCAAAACCATCCTTTCCCAACAAACAGGAAAAAACACCCAAACCCACTGCATTGGGGATGAAGGGAAGGCTCTTGAGTAAAGAGGCTTTTAATAGGGAACCACTATGTGGAATCAGTGACCTACTCATCTCCCCAGAGATGGCCCTACTTCTGATGAATGTAGTTCATGAAGTGCAAAGCTCTTTCAACACTTTCACACCTCCACRTAAATATTTATGTTTATAAAGAAATACAAGCCCTTATACATCTCAAWAAGCTCTTGATTATCAATTTCACAYCACTGTACTTGCATTTGTACTTGCACAGTGTAAACAGCATTGAAGATCAGGCAGACATTGAGCCACTAACAGTTTCATCATCGGAGCTGCAGTGTTTATTTACATTGTATTGCTCAGAAAATGACAGAAACAAGAAGCTCCGCAACAAATCCAGGTGAGWTTTTCTCTGTGCATTATACTTTTCAACAACCAGGAATATTTTATTAGCAACACAGACAATTAAATATTAGAAATCTATACAACGTCCTTTTCKCTCCCAGTCTCCAAAACGTGTAGGTTCAGGGCCTCTAGGTCCACCCCTCTCTTTTGTRGTAGGATTGATTCCATCAGGGAATTCTAAAATAACAGGAAAAGTTCATTAAAATTTCTATACTGTTGACAAATATAAAGATGTCACCATTTAKGACGTTTTCTTTTTAGTTTCAATTTCAAATACAAGATAAATTCTTTTTTGTTTTGAAAGACAACGTTGAGTCAAACATTTCCCAGARTCCTACAAAAGTAATTCCAGGTTCTTTGACTACAATCAGCATCATGTATGATCATATTCAGCTATGCAATTAAAGAGGCAAGTCAATGTCCAGAGGCACTAAAGCACCAGAGTTTCTCAAAGCAGAACTTGGWTCATTCAGGTATGCTGTACCTATGTTCACTAAACCTAAAACTCCAAGTCACTTTGTTTAGGGCTCTAATTTTTAAGCACTCTGTTTTAACYTGAATTTTAGTCAATATTCTATTAGTCTTTTATTTAAAACATCCAAGTTGAATGTTGACCCATCTAAGCTGGCCTTTAACACTTTCAGGGATGGGGYATCCACAGCTTCACTGGGCAGCCTGTTCTAGTGTGTCGCCACCCTCTCAGTAAAGAATTTCTTCCTAACATCTAAACCAAACCTGCCCTCTGTCAGTTTAGCACCATTGCTCCTTGTCCTGTCATTATCTGCTTGTAAGAAAACTCCCTCCCCCTGCCTCCATTTTATAAACYCCCTTAAGGGACTAAACCCCCTTYAGGTGTTGGAAGGYCACAATCAGACTTTCCCAAAGYCTTCTCCAGGCTGACCAACCTCACCTCTTAGCCTGTTTTTGTTGRAGAGATGATCTGTCCCCTTGATCATCTTTGTGTCCCTCCTTTGGACCCATTCAAACAGGTCCATGCCCTTCTTGTGCTCAGGACCCCAGAGCTGAATGCAGCCTTTCTGATGGGGTCTCATGAGGGCAGAGAAGAGGGGGAGAATCACCTCTCTTAATCTGCTGGCCATTCTGCTTTTGATGCAGCCCACGATTTGGTTGGTTTTCTGGGCTGCAATCACACACTGCCAGATCATATCTGGGTTTTTATACAACGCCCCCTACTCTGCTACATAAGAGAATCACATTGCAAGCTCATGCTACTTTCCTAAAAACCAGAGAGCTTTCTGCACCTCAGCCAACATTRTTACATTACTCAGTGCACCTTTACTCAAGACCATCTCCTGAAGTTAATTCRGGCCACCAAGCCACAAACTACTTGTTGGCACAGCACTATCCTAGGCTGAGTCTCAYCATGCACTGGACTGTGGGGCTCCCAGAAACTCACAGTACCCCACATGCCCCTTGCCATACTGATTCTCCAGGGCTTTCCATATATACAGATAACTTGGGACTCCCTCAGTCATACCCCTAACTCAACCCTGCTGTATGTAATGAGGTGCAGGGTTGAAGATGAGAAAAGACAACATAGATTTTGGAAAGTGGACAAAAGGAAAAGTGATGGAGGGAAACTCATGTAGCTACGGGCTATAGAGGATRACAAACCAGGATGCCTCTTTGTAACTCATGCAGACCAGGAAAAGAAATGTCAGTATTTGAGCACTTCTGTCAGTACAAGGAGCACAAATGCAACTAATATTATTTTGTACATCATCATCCCAGTATCAAAGTACTACTGATGTGCTGACAGCAGAGGCTCAAAAGATTTCTCTACAACAGCTACAGAGCAGTGGGAATTCCAACATTCAGCTTCAACTCCTGAAGATTTTTCCTAATAACACAACAGGCAGTTTGCAAACTGTTGCTGGTGTTACATGTAAAAAATATTCAGGTGCAACTAAAGAAACCTTAAGTCTTTCTCCAAACCTGGAATAAGCAAAGAACAAAAGATGTGGATTATGCATATTTTATAYGAAGCAGTGATGGCAGATTTTCCTGAATTAAGGTAAGTTAATAAAAAGAATTTAACAGCTGCTTACACAGTGACTCCAACTGTGAGTTAGTTCTCAAGTGAGCCACAACCCGAAATTGCATGCAATCCTTTTGGAGATGATTCTAATAACACAAGAATGATGATACTCTAATACAATAATATAACAACAAACTTGTGGAGAAATTTGTGTAAGAAGGGGAAGCAGAAGTAGGTTTTCATCATGATGCAGCTTTCCCAATGGCTGTGGTGGCCTTGGGGAATTACACGGACTCGGAGACCTTTTTATGGCACTACTGCACAAAAGGTGCTATTTCACCCTGTATGGAAAGAGGGGACTTCTGTGGAAGAGTATCTGAGGATTCTGGATATGAAATTAAGGATTCTGAGGTGGAAGAAGATCAGTTTCTTAAATGAATGTCAGGAATGATTCATCTTTATGCTGCTATGATTCAACCCTGGTGGCCTTATGGAAATAAATAAGGGGCACATCCTCAGGGACTGAATTATGCTTGGCACTGGCTTGCTTGGAGGTTGAATATGGAGCCTCTGAGAGATGYGACAGCTACGCTACTTTTTAATTTTCTGGAGGTTGTGGCAATGCTTTTGTGAAACAGTAKCACATCCAACTTGGGAAATTATTTTATCCAAGTTTATCCAAGAAGACTACATCCCAAGAATTGAAGCAATTACCAGCTCTGTACTGATGGGCTCATTAATACGTTTGAAGGATTTCATGAAGTACTACAGACGAAGGAAATTCTGCTTCCAATGGACACTCTGCTGCCTTCCTTTTGGAGACTATAGATCAGTCTGTATTTCTTTTCCCCAGGATGTTAGTGCTTTCAGACCTGGCTTCCTGTTTACATGGTAAGGCAGAATATATTCTGTATACAGAAAAATGAAAAGAAAAAATTTAATCAACCCATTAATGTTTAATTAATGAAGGTTCATGTGTTTATGTTTAATTTGTTGCAAATAGTTTATAGCTATTCCTTCCATTGCCTCTTTCTAAGCTCTTTTATCTTAACAATTTGTTTTTAAAAAAATAAAAATCCTAAACCCCACCCAGAGTGCTGTATTCAGCTCCACCCAGAGTGCTGTATTCAGCTGTGGAGCCCCCAAAACAACAAAGATGCGGGCCTGTAGGAACAAGTCCAGAGAAGGCCACTAAGACAATAACATTACTGGAGCACCTCTCCAATTAATACAGACTGAGGGAAGACTCTGAGAATTGGGCTTCTTCAGTCTGGAGAAGGCTCTGGGAAGAACTTTTAGCAGCCTTCCAGCACCTGCAGAAGGCCTATAAAAAAGGGGAAGGACTTTTTACAAGGGCATGTAGTGACAGAACAAGGKGGAATTGCTTTAAAATGAAAGAGGGTAGGTTTAGATTAGCTATTAGGAAAAAAATTTTAACTGTGAGGGTGGTGAGGCACTGAAACAAGTTGTTCAGAGAGGCTGTGGATGCCCCAACCACAGAAATGTTTAAGGCCAGGGTTTTGGGTAGCCTGGTCYAGTGGAAGGTGTCCCTGCCCATGGCAGGAGGGTTGGAACTTTATGATCTTTAAGGGCCTGATCAACCCAAACCATTCTATTGTTCTATGATTTTTCAGTCATTTTTTCACCTGAACATTTATAGTAATCTACTGATGTATTAAAAAGTTTGTCCTAGAGACCTCAAAAGAGATAAACATGGGTTATTGCTACTGGTGAACTTCAGCAGAATATCACTCAATGGTGAGTTACAGAAAGCATGATTATCGCTTTTAGTTCAGTGAAGATGGTTAATTAAGAAGAAAGAGATTCCTTTTCCCATCTGACAAAAAAAGGGTATGCTCCTATTTAGTTGAGCAGTGATGTATYTGTGCCTCAATCTTGTCACATTCTCTACATGAGGTCCCACTGAGGTCACCAGAACACAACATGAATRGCAACAGGTCATTAGGTCTGCCCAGGCTCCACCAAGGTGCTCAGTAAACTCAGTATCAAGTGTTTCAATTTCAAAACACTACCTGCAAAATTAAGAAATCTTGGCCATGAAACACAGCACGAATTGGAAATACTTCGCTCACTAAGAAGTGACCAGATATTTTGAATAATACAAAGTTGCTGGTGCCAGCTACATTTCTCTGAATCATGCAATGGCTTGTGGTGGAAGGCACCTTTGGCACAYACATGATCCCCGCCCTTGCTCAAGGCAGGGCTGGTACTAGGTCAGGAYAGCCAGGCAAATTTGCCTATCTCCAAGAGCAGAAGAATGCTAGGTTCTCCGGGTGACTTTTTGCAATGTTTTACCACGGTTGCTCTTAAGACTTCTTCCCTGGTGCATCTTGCACTGCACCTTGTGCTTATTACCCTGCCGCTTGGTTTCTTTTTTCAGAATCAGAAAGCTTAGAAAAGGATTTGAAAGAGAGCTAAATACCTGTCATCTGAAAATGACACAGCACAGCACCTCAGAGTCTYGCCTTTAAAACACAGCTTTCAATTTTGTAAAACATTACTTACTTTCCAGGGGTTCCTTCTCTACACTGGTCTCTTCTGGTTCATCAAACCGACCTACTGGTAACTTTGGTTTCTTAAGTGGCTGCTTGGCAGGTTCAGATCTTCCTCCTGTCTTAGAGCTGGAGCTGCTCCGCAAGAGGCAGAGTGATGACTCTATCAAGCAAAGGGACACATGTAGCATAAATGTGGGAGTTTAGCACTGAGTAACTCCCTCACTGTGCAGAGCACCTCTGAAAAAAAACCTACTTCAGGAATGAGAGAGTGGAGGTCAGGAAAACAAACTCAAAAAATTATTTAACCTTTAACTAATGAATACCTAAGAAATCAGCACAGATAATTTTTGGCCCTAGAAACACATGTAGGCAAAACGGTYGGTTGTGTAACTCAGTTCACATGAACAGTGTATTTTAAACTGCTTGAACTTATCCTTGCTGATACTTTCTTGTATTTTAGACTCTTAAATAGTAATTATGCTAGCATAGACTAGTACATTCTGTTTTCCGGGAGAAATCCTAACCTCCCCCAACAAACCTGCTGATTTCCAGGTCTTGGCTCATTTCCAGCAGCTTTTCAGTCAGAAAAAAACTTCTGCTTTCCCAAAGGAAAGTTTGAAAAAATAAAACGTTGCTCCCTTAGTAACAGGTTTTCCAGAATGTTGGTAGAGGACAACTGGGTTTCCCTTAGGGCAGTAAAACAGTTCAGCGGGTAGTCAAAAGCAGGAAAAACTTTGAGCATGTTTAAGTTCAGTTATGTAACTGCATGCAAATGCTTTTTAGTAAATGCATTAACTTTTTTCCTTTAAAGTCCTACTAACATTTTGGTTAAGAAGCCAAATGTCCATAGTGAGCATAAACTATCCACTAAAAATATTTTGGCTATGGACATGCRCCTAAAGCAGCTCTGACATTTCTTTAGAAGGTAGATTCAAACAGAAATCCTCCCTGTAACAGCTGGGGGCAAGTACCTGAAAGAACTACTATTCTACCTTGTTGAGGAGACTGAACCAGGAAGCCTTCTCAAGCAGTGTCAGTTTGACTCACCTAAATATACACCAACCAACAAACCACATGTATTTCCAGAATCTGCATATTCATTTACTTTAAAATACCACAACTTTAATATCAAACCCTACAGCCACAGAAACTGTATTACATCTGCCAACTGGTGCCAATACCCCAAAGGATTTCTTTTTGTTTTAAGCGTGACATAGCAAACTACCAACAGTAAAGGATCTAATCTGTTGCAAACATTGGGTCTTCCTACTCCTGCCAAGCTTCTTGTCRTTCTTTAGTAAGCTAAAAGAGAAGCTAGCTAGAAAATTAAATTATAATTGGTATTCTAGTCCAAATTCAAATAAAAGTCAGAATTAGGTACTAGCATGAAATCGATTATCTCAGTCACCAGAGAACAGGCAAAATCCATTTTCCTTGATGGATTTACTTGATATTCTTGACCAAAATATACTCTTCTTGACAGACAAGTGATAAAAGTTAAAYATGAAGTATCTCTGAAAAAGATAACATGAACCATCAACTTCATCAGTGAACCATATTATACAAACTGATCTYTGATTCCCTCCTCCTTTACASGCTGTCACAAAGCCCTCCCATTTATTAATTATATAATTGAACTTGAAGTTGAAAATTCCAAGCCTTTAAAGTTGCTGCACTGCAATATCCCATCTTTTGAAGCGGCCCACAGACTGTGATTTATCGTAACAAAGCCATCCATGCAGCGAGAGCTGGGCACACATCCGGATGCTCAGAGGATTAGAGCATCAGCCACATCTTGCCATGAACCTGACAGCCAAATAGAGCACAAACATCTAACAACAACTTTTAAACAGCTCTTCCATACAGGTTTGTTTTAGGAGCATTGTATCAATAGCATCACAGAACCTCAGCTCTGGATGGAGAGGGAAGCACCTGCCCAAGCTGAGGCCTGTGGGACAGTTTGCTATCCAGGGTGCCTTACTCCTGCATAAACAAACCACCTCAATTTCCTCAGGCGAACGGAACGGAGCAGTAACTTCCAGGACCACAGCATGCTCCCTCCAGCTATTCTACCACTGTTTAACATTTTCCTGCCCTTTAAAAGTACGCAGCGACGACTGGACAATAAAACCTGTGCAATAAAAGGCCCGGTAGCAATAGGTTTGCAATGTAGGGGAGAATATTTATAAGGGGGGACGGGGTGGAGGGAGGAAGGGAGGAAGAGCAGAGAAGCTGTAGGGAAATGGWGAGTGTGGGGGAAGCTGTGCAAGCCCGCGGCCCGCAGAGCCCCCCGGGCTGAGGAGGCGGCGGATCTCACAGCCCTCACCCGCCGCCATYTTGGGCGCTCTCCAGCCCCCCCAGCGCCGGCAGTCCCAGCAGCGCCCGCCTCTCCCCTCGCTCGCCCTCCCTGCGGCAGGAAGGGCACGGGGAGCCGGGGAGCCCTCTGCGGCACCGACCGGGCCCTCCCTCACTCCCGCCCGCCTCTTACTCGCTGCCCCCGGCGCGCCGCGCAGCAGCCGCAGAGCCATGGCCGGCACCGAGCCGTGCGGGGCGGGCAGCGCGGCCGCGCAGGCGCCCACGGCGGCGGAGGCTGCAGCCGGGGGAGGGCAGCGAACGCGGCTCCGGTTCGGAGCTGTCTCAGCGGCCTCGGAACACCTCCGTGCCCTGGGCTGCTCCCTGACTCCGCTAAACGGAGCCACGGTCCCGATGAAGGCAGCTACGGGCTCACAGAGCTGACCGAGAAATATGCTGTCACTCTTCTCTCCACCCGTCGCCAAACCTGGAGCAAAGTCGTCTTCCTTCTTCGATGCAGTGAAGAGTTTAGCACTGCAAGAACCCATTTCCCCCCACAATGTGTATTGCAGTCCAGTTAGGGTTTGTTTGGTTTTTTAATTTTTTTTTGTTTGTTTCTTTTTTTCTTTAATAATTAAAATATGTATATTCTTCAAATAATACATATCCTAAGCAGTCTTTGTGTAACAGCCTGGRCTAATACCATAGTGGTGTACAGACAGTGCTTTCAGACGACATCTTTCCAATTTCACAGTTTTAACGTGAAGCTGTTTTTAACACTCAGTATAAATCTAACCCTGGGATAAGTAAATCTCTGTTCATGGAGTGGACCTTCAGTTAATTAGCTACTGTTAATGTTTTGAATATGGCAAAATTCGCTTTTTGTCACTCTTCAAACTTCTCCAGCTAACCTTGTTCTTACATAAAACAGAATTCACTCTGTCCACAGATAAACCGCAGAAGATAACTTGGCATTTTGTGTTCACATTTGAAAGGTTTAAGAAAGTAAATCTTGGTAAATTAAGAGCAGCAGCAATCCCTGGAGTTTACTGTGCTACATCTGGTGATGCCTACACACYRAAAGTGATTAAATTTAACTGACTGCCTTATGAGTGACATTTTCTCAGTCAGCCTTTTATAACATGGTTAATTAGACATTAGAGACTGAAAATAATGCAAACCCTTTCCTTTATTTTAACAACAAAATGCTGGGCCTCTAGGTAGAAAGAGTAAAGATGAATGCAGAAAAAAAAAGCTCTTCTGCTCAGCAAGAAAAAAACTCAAACAGATTTTGTCATAGTTCAAGAACTTAGTTTACATGTTCAATACAGTAAAAACTAACATAAAAGCCTTCCCTGAAAAAAACTYTTACCAAGCTGTCTGCAGACACACATTACAAGTAATAGTAAGCTCTGCTCCTAAATAGCTTCACACAATCCATGAGAAATCATACATTTATGCATACATCATACACACATGCATACATGTCGAAAATCAAATGGTCAGAATGAAATACCAATGAATGATTAATGAGGTATTGTTTATCCACCTAAAAATTAACTGCCTTCAAAACATATTTCTAATCTTTATTTATTGTATAGCTGTAAAAAAGCAAAATTCACTTCTAACTCCTGAATTATTTATTTCTGGATCTTTTGTGTGAGGAGGCAGTAAATTTGAACATTGGTAAAAACAAATGCAGCATACACCACATGAATTTTCTATTTTGTGATTGAATGTTTTCTTTTCTTGTTYTCCTTCCTCTGTTTAGTGATCACTTCTCTCTTGCACTGCAGCTTGCTTTGTGAGACGACACAATACTGTATTTAGCTTTGCTATTCTAAAAAGTGGGGAATAAAGACTTACAGYTAGCACAAAGCTGGCAGCAGGTCAGTTCAGATAAGCCAAATGTACCGGTCTTGGGGGCTATCTGAAAAGCACCACAACCAGCACTGCCCTGGCAGCAAGTACTGATATTACCTAAATGCCCCCTCTGCCTCTGACACCACGTCAAGAACCTTGGTTATCTGAACAACCACATCTGGTCAGGGCAGAGTTAATAAAATTGGCTTGGAAACAAGGTTGTTTGGTAGTTACAAAGTAAGTTTTCCATCAATGCAAAATCTCTTGGCTCTGCTGCAAAGCCTGGTGATTGTCAGTATTACATTAGCTCTTTTTCCAAAGTAGTAGCAATTCCTGGATCTACAGGAACAGAAAGTTAAAYTTTTATCAACGGCTCAAACACAACCCAAGGAATTAATTTACATACACTACATGCAAACAGAAGTTCAGACACTGTCATTTTATGCAGTGATGTCCTAATAGTATCACTGAGAACTTTTTGAAATAACTACCAGCCTACTTCCTTCAGGGAGCAAGAGACTGACAGTTCTAAAAAGGAATGTTAAGACCTCAATTCTTACCTCTTATTCTGTAAGCAGCATAATTCTCTTTCAAGCAACTGTAGGATACCTGCATAAAGGAGAGGTCACTACTGCTAAAGGAAGATGAAGCTCTCATTCAAACAGGAGAGTGGTGAGATGGAGCACTTTACAGCTGCTAGTGCATCACATGATACTGACTTGCATAAACACAAGTGTGTTTTTCTGTCKAGGAAGGAGAAGGCAGAAAAATGTGGGAAAAGGAGGAACATGCCATGCAACACATGCACAGTTGCCCTGAACATCCCAGGCTGCATGTGTTATTCAGAGAGCAACTGCAAGTGACCATACAGTCTGTAAGTAAATATGAATTTCCTGTGCTTTAAGGACATATTGGGGTCATCATGCTCTCTCTACTGTCTAACAGCACATTCCTTTGAGACTTTGGGATGTCAAACAGTYCTCATAAAAGCTACAGTACTGAGAGGGCTACCAGACCACTAGACAATAAAAAGTAGGGAAAAGAGAATGAATTTAATGTTCTCTTAATTTGCCCTGTTCCTCGATAAACTTACATGCAAATATCACAAGATTTCCTGCACCATCCATTTTCATTGAAGAACAAACTTATTTAGGCTGCCTTAAATGGATGGGATCTACTGTTACAAAAASAAAACCAACAAACCACMAASCAACYAAACAAAACCCAAAAAAACAACAACAAAAATCACAAAACCCCCCCACAAAACAAGAACAAAAACAAACAAAAAAACAACCCAAAACCAACCAGTGGCTATTTCTGCCAGGATATGTCTGCCTTTCTGATCACAAAAGCATGTGTTACACTTTCAGAATTCCAGAGACAGAAAGCCAGACTGACATTTTTCAATAGTGATAGGACCATCTAAATATTTGTTTACTACGAGCAATTTCAAGTCCTCATTGTGAATMAAGGAATATTTTGTAACTTTAGCTCCCTTAAGCAGATACTCCAAGTTAAGCCAGTAGCCAAATACTGTAACACTGTTAAATAAAAAGACAATTGAGATACCAGAACATAATTTAAACATTTAGAGCTTAGCAGCAACATCATACTACAAAATTATTAATAAAAATAGGCATTCGTGTAGTGAAAATGTATTAAAGGTACCTTTGTGTTATAATATTTGCCTCATACAGTTCTAATAAAATACTCTTTCCAGTGTATACATTGCTGAACTGTAGATGCTCATTTGAGCATACTGTAAGTTACAGGGAACACCCCCCATAGTACAAAGACTATTATGCAACATTCCATATCAAACGCAAAATCACTTCATTATAAACTATTATTGCTATATTCATTTCAAAAGTACAAAATTATTAACTATATATTAAAAAGCCTCCCCAGAATTTTRGTAATTAGCAGAACATTTCCGTTTCTTTAATTGCTTTCATTAGAGTAATTTGTTCATTTTATTAACACCAGATGTAATAACACAATGCTAAAAATAAACATGCATTATACAACAAATTTATATTTTTCAAAAAATGTTCATTACAATTAGTGTACAATTAGTGAATGCACATGTAACTCTTTTCCTCCACCTTTAGTGAATTATTGTTTGAAAAGGAGAAAAGGGAAGGAAGGAGAAACCAAACAATGCTATTCAGCACCAGTAGAAAGTCAATAGACCTTTAACATTCCTGTATATCAAAAACATTTTATCTGTGTCACTAAACAGGTAAAGTTTACAATATTGTCTCATTTGAAGATGTATTGATTTATATTTACAATACTTTATAGTCAATAAAACATTTTTAACAATATTTAAAAATTGCTTARGTTCATAAAAGTATTGCAGAAATTTATAACATTTACTTATTTTAAGTACATACAAGGAAGTCCATGTAAAGTTGTCCATGTTCATCTGAAGAACTGACAGAGTAAGGAACCATCTTAATACAGTTTGCAAAACCCCAATTATTTGAAGGCAGCTATCAYTGAACATTCAAAAATCCTTAGTTGCCATTTGCTTCTGAAAACAAAATTTCCAGTAATAAAATTTGAGTATGTAAACTACCATGTTTTTGAGATTAGTAGAAAATATATTCCCACAGGCATAATGTGTTTAACAATGACAGTAATGATTTTGTAGAAAACTGTTAAGCTGTAGCAGATATAGTCATTTTCAAATATCCAGTATTTTAGCAGCTCATTGTGTTTCCAGTTAAACTTCCTACARTGCTAAAATACGACAACTGAACACGTAAGACATTATTAGAATTTTAAAATCCAATTTATTTTTGGCATCTAAAGCCTCTTGTAAAACGTAGCCAAGTAACATTGACTTCTGTTGTCTGAGAGCCAATAGCCAACCAAACAAAAGTACACACTGTGCTTTAATCTCCAAATAATTAGGTACCCAAAATTAAGAAAAAGTAATAGAAAAGTAAAAAGAACAAAATAAAAAAATATTGCACAGTCACATTATCTAGAAAGTAAAGTTGATGTTAAAAAGCCCTAAGTGTGGATGATATAAATTATCTTCCATATAAAAAGTATAAATATCTCTTAAAATACAGCTGCAGCTATACTTTAACACCACACATTATCTGAATTCATCTGTTAATGAGGTAATAACCAAGTCTCTTACAATGCTTTTCTCTACTGAAAATATTTTAGGGCAGCAACAAGAAAGAATTTTTCTAAAAATATTTCTGAATCAAGAACAGCAATGTGTGCAGCTCTCCCTATGAGAGAATCCGCTGTATTGGGTAATGCATTAATTACATTATAACGAACCAAATTACATTCCTTATTTTGAAGAACTGGCAGAAGCAGGTTCTGGATCATTTCAGCATAAATTGGTCCTGTAGAGGAAAAGAAAAGTACTGTGTGAATTGCCAGAAACAAATACAATTCTTTGACCTTGAACTCAAAATGAATACATTCTAGAATGTAATTTCCTCTAGAAATGTTAAAAAAATAATTTGAAGCTATGCATTTTAGTATTTGTATATTTATAGTGAGAAAGTACTGATCAGTATTAATTTATTACATTATGTAGAAGTTACTTGTTAACATCTAATACCAGAAWACAATTGTGCTAGGATGTCTTAACAGTAAATACAACAACTGACCCTAACTGATTGTGGAAAAATTACYTTTTTTCAGTGCTACTATTAAGCCACAACTAAATACAGCCCAGGGCTTGATGCTACAATTTTTTATCCTCAAAACTCAAAGCTATTTGTCCTCCCAATTCATGGCATAGTGCATCAAGGG